AAGTTATACTCAAATATTTGGACTTGTTTACGGTGACACTCTCGCCACCATGGCTAAAGAAGCATCTGTTTTCTCCATCTATTACTGTTGTTCGTCATTGGCCTCTTTACCAGTTAGACATTAAGAATGTTTTTCTTCATGGTGATCTTGATGAAGTAGTTTATGTGGAGCAACCACCTAGTTTTGTTGCTCAAGGGGAGTTTAGTGGTCTTGTATGTCGATTGCACAGGTCACTCTATGGTTTGAAGCAGTCTTCTCGAGCCTAGTTTGGTAAGTTCAACACAATTATTCAGTAGTTCGGCATGACTCATTGTGAAGCTGATAACTCTGTATTTTATCGGCATTCTGCTCTTAATCTGTGTATTTATCGGGTGGTTTATGTTGATGATATTATTATTACTGCAGATTGAAGTATTTTCTAGGTATTGAAGTAGCCCAGTCTAGCTCAAGAATTGTTATTTCACAGCGGAAGTATGCCTTAGACATTCTTGAGGAGACAGAAATGATGGGTTGCAGACCTCTTGACACCCCTATGGATCTGAATGCTAAGCTTCTGCCAGAATAGGGGGAGCCTCTTAGCGATCCTGCGAGATATAGATGGTTGGTTGGCTAATTGAATTACCTCACAGTTAGACCTGATATTTCCTTTCCTGTGAGTGTTGTAAGTCAGTTTATGGACTCTCCCTGTGGTAATCACTAGGATCCGGTATATAAAATCAGCTCCAGGCAAAGGACTACTATTCGAGGATCGAGGCCATAAGAAGATTGTTGGATACACAGATGCTGATTGGGCAGGATCACTTTCCGATAGGCGTTTTACGTCTGGATATTGTGTTTTAGTGGGAGGTAATTTGGTCTCTTGTAAAGTAAGAAATAAAATGTAGGTGTTCGATCTAGCACATAAGCAGAATACCAAGCCATGACTATGGCAACATGTGAGCTAGTTTGGATCAGACAGTTGCTCAAGGAATTAATGTTCGGAGAAATCAGCTAGATGGAACTGGTGTGTGATAATCAAGTTGCACTTCATATTGCATCAAATCCGGTGTTCCGTGAGAGGAATAAACACATTGAGATTGACTGTCACTTTGTCAGAGAAAAGATACTCTCAGGAGATATTATTACAAAGTTTGTAAAGTCGTATGATCAGCTTGCAGATATTTTTACCAGCACCAAGTCCCTTACTATTTCTCGTATTAATTACATCTGTAACAAGCTCAGTACATATGATTTATATGCACCAGCTTAAGGGGAAGCATTAGATAGTTAGTAATATTAGATAGTTAATAATATGTGTAGTGTCCCACATCGGAGAATAAATATTTGGTATTATGTAATTACTGTAGATAAATAGGGCATTGTAAAACACTTTAGTGATAATTAATGAGACTTTTCCGTGTTGTACAACTCACGTGACCTTCGGCTATCTAACAAATAGTCCAAGTTTGCTGTCGACTTTTCCTCGATGATTGAAAACTCTACAGACAAAAGCAATTAATACCCAGAGATGTCCACTTGACATTATATTTTTTAAAGCTGAAAAGAAAGAAAATGCATCAAGATCGGGTTTATCTTGAGGGATGCAAGAAGTGTAGAAGAAGAAACGAAGATCCATGTTAAAGACCAGAGCTGGGTAAGGCATTAAAGCCTATGAATACTAAAGCTTTATGATATTTACCAGAACTAAAGAAACATCTTGCAAGCCTTTAGTTCTCTGTTTCTTTAGGGAGTATATATTTTTCCTATCATAGGGAAATAACTATGCATTTAACTCTCAAATTGGCATCATTCAAAGAGACAGTAAAAGTTAGGGTGTTGTAGTATACTACTAAGGACTTTTGCAGAATGCAAAGTTATTAGTGGACCAAAATCCACATATATGTTGACCGGAGATATGAAAAGAGAAAAATCTTCACATTTTTAGATGGCTTTATCTCCTTGATTTCACGAGACAATTTCTATCATCCTTTTTTTGTCTTCATTGATCAGTTATTGTTGATCAATGACCGCAACGAACGCTTGGCCTAACTATACTTCATATGCATCCAAAGCAAGATTTGGTCCTAGTTTTTTTCAATCCCTTAAAATTTCTAGATTACTAAATACTAACTCTTATACTCATACTAACGAAAGTGGAATTCTGAAGGAAGGCATGAAAAATTAATGTCCTAGAAACAAGGAAAAGTCAATGAGAATATAGATTTCCACTCACCTACTTAAGAGAAGCTTAAAACCCTTGAGCCATAAAATTTGACTTTTAGCTAGATCTTCATCAGATTAACTGAAACACTTATACATCGAATCCACATTTATCCTCTACATTTACCACTGACTTCAAGCTTTTGTCTGCTCTTAAACATAGTCCTCAGATGGATTTCAAATTAGTCCAATTTGGAGGTGATTTCACTAGTTTTGTTTTCTGACATGTGATTTCACTTGTGTGAAACAGTTGAAAAGAATTCTTTTTCAGAAACATGCATGTAATTTAAAGCTTATAATCAGTTGAAAACTGCAAATAACACCAGGCTATAGAAGACAAATGTCAAAAGCATCCTCTTAATACCAATAATGATCTTCCATTCCTACCATAACCATCAAGGCTAGCACAGAGAATTTATATCCTCAAGATCGTACTTTCATCTTAGATTACCTTCTTTGAGCCAAAAGCTACCTTAGATTCTTGGTGTTTCTAGACATCCGCTCTAAACAAGTGTGGATTTATTACTTCCTTTTTGGGGGTAAAGCACAATCTAGTAATTACAATATCAGTCCTTACCAACTAGTAATTCTTCTTTTTTAAATAAGCTTATCGACTAGATTCTTCAAAATCCGAGTAACAACTAATATCTCCAAACACAAAATGGAAAGGGGCATACTAATGTAGGAGTGACATACAGAAGACTCACAAAGCAACAAGCCAAGACCACAAAACATTGACTAAATAAAAAAGTTGATTTAATTCAGGGTCCATCAAGTTCTTTATAACTTCGGTGAAACTGAAGCAACATCTAGGTATGTGTAATGAACATTCAAGCCGCACAAACAAAGAATAAACTTTTGTCTGTGGCATGTCAGAGAAAAGCTCTCAAATTGGTCAGCCACGAGAAATTAGAGAGGACTCAACTCAAAAGTTCGATTATTCTGTCAAGTTCGGTAGGAAATTTAGAGTAATCTACAAGAGTTTAAAGTATGGTAATTGGAAAGCAAAAATTACGAATCAAATCATAATCAAATTCCAAATAAAATCAATCTCCAATTAATAGTAACTCTCATACAGTCTTACCACTCCTCAAGTTGGAGCATACATATCATAAAGTCCAAGCTTGTTACAAATGTATTGAATCCAAGGTCCTCAAGGATTTGTTAGGAACATCTGCTAGCTCGCCTTCCAACTGACAAAGCTTGTGGCTATGCATCCGGGGTCAATCCATATGCCCCACAAATTTTTACATACACTTAAACTCATGTCATTAATTAAAATGAGCCAATTGCTTGATGTTTATTGATAATAATTGATTATGACGTTTGAATATTGAAGCGGATGTTGATTTGGGTGGTGGAAGTGAGTTGGAGGTGACACGGGTGAATATCATAGCAAAAAGGAAACTTATGAAATTTAAAAGTTGGATCAGCTACAGGTCGATCACGCTATAGTGTGTCCGCATGACCCACCTCGTGGAACATGATATAGTGTGTCCGCATGACCCACCTCGTGGAACATGATCTAGGATGAGGGAGTTCACAAGGTGAGGCAACACACTTGAAGGCCACTGAGTGGCAAGTGCATGAAGCCCATGTGGTAGGCTGACATGAATGGCAAGGCCACACGATGTGAAGAAGAGACTTTAATCATGCGATGGCACCATAGCTAACTGGTATCAGGCCTTAGCACAATAAAAGCTGAGAGTCGGGTTTTGTTCCCAATTCTCGAAGTTTTGAGCAAGGACGCAACTTCTATAAAGAATTTTCCCCAAGGCTTGATCCAACCAAAAAGGTGAGATCATTAAGTCATTTGGATTATTTAATGCACATTAAAGTGAATCTCAACCTCCAAAAACATATGATTTTGCCTAGAAACCCAAATTCCACAAACTTTCTTCAAAAATCAAGAAGTTGGGATTTTGCTACCTTGAGGTAATTTCGCTTTCTTGGGCTTGTTGTATGAGCTATAATAATATAGGTAGACGATATATGGTGGAGTTTGGTCATTGTTCAAAGGTTGAGATATACTCACTTAGGGGGATTTATGGAGGTTGTTATGATGTAATGTTGAATCCAAATAGTGGTTTGGTGGACTAAATGGTATTGAATAATCATAAATGGTATTAATGACCTAAAGGCAGGATGGGAATAGAATGGTTGAATCAAGACCTCACCCTAGGTTATGGTTGGATGGCCTAGAGCCAAATTCCAATAGTTGACTTGGATTCCTTAATCGTTGAATGGCATGAGTAGAGAGATTAGAGAGGATTCAACTCAAAAGTTTGATTATTCCTTTGAGCTTGGCTGGGAATATATAGCAACTACAAGTTTTTACAGTATGGTAAGTGTGTAATTACAAATAAATAAAATCAATCCTAACTAACGGTAAATCTTGTACAAACTTAACAAGCCAAACTCATCTAATTTTTAATTTAATATAGCAAATAACATCTCATTGAATCACACGAAGTTGGAGTTGAAACTACAAACTAGGCTAATTATTTGAAACTAGGTTTAGATAACAATAGTATCACCATCGAAAATAACGAAACATAAATCCACATGATAGGATACAACATTTACATCAGAAGCTTAAACTCAATACAGGAAAGTGATAAAGGAAAAATTATAACCACTTTTGCCAAATTTATGAAGCTGAATTAGAAAAGGAAAATAGAATGATAAAGAAAATAGTTTTTGGATTTCACACTGATACTGTTTTCTTCTAGTTGAAAATGGACCAAGTGCCCATTTTACACATTTTCCTTTAAGAAACAAAACTTAATTCCATGACTTACCCTCTTTGCAGAATGAAGCTTCTCACTGGAATCCCTAAAAGTATGGTCCAAAAGGTTTCCCTCTTTGCCTCTTTGCAGTAGTTGGTCAAACTCATCAACCTTAGTTTGTAATGTAGCATGATCACATTGGAGTTCAGATTCTTGTGCCTAAAAGAGTCCATTGGTCATATGCACATTTTAACCATGGCAGAAGGTTTTAAACTGAAGCAACAAATCATGGCCCACCTTCGACGATAGGATCCTGTGAGCAGCGGGATCACGCTCAATTCTTTCTTGTACAAGCTTTAGATTATCATCCTTTTTCTGATTCCAAACGAATCCCGGTATTTATTAATTGCAGATTGATAAACATGACCGAAATTCAAAAATCAAATCCGATAGAGTAGCTTCTTACCACTTCTTCCATTAAATTATTATTATTATACAGTTACTCTTTCTGAATATTCCAATGGTACCTCCTGCAAATTGCATACAACAGCCATTGGGACTCAAAAGTAAGATTATTTCGTAATCAAACGCTAAATCAAGGAGATCAATTGAATGGTGATAGGATTACTTACCCCCCTCTCTCTCTCGCAAATCTCTCTTCTTTCTATGTCGAGACGGGTTTATCTCCGAAAAACACTTTTAAAATCTTTATAACAAAAAAAAAAATTAAATATCTGTATTAATTATAATTTAATAGTATATCATATTATTTTAAAAAATTTAGTTGTTTATTAGTCCCTCTGTTTCAAATTAGATGAGGTATTTTCTTTTTTATTCAATTACAAAATAAATGACACATTTCTAAATTTGAAAACAATTCAACTTTAAACTCTTAATTTACTCCATTTACCCTTAATAAGAAGCTTTTATAATCACACAAATGTCATGGTCCCACAAAGCTTTTACCACTTAAGTTTTTAAGACCGCCAGTTTTAAAAGTATTCTTCTTCTTCTTAAACTTCGTATCGAGTCAAACTAACTCATCTAAATTGAAGCGGGTGGAGTATTTAATATAGTATACAGAAATATAACAAAAGTTATACAAAATCAAGGGATACACATTACATACTAATAAAATAAATTATTTATTCCTTATTTATTCTTTATTAGTATTAAATTAGCAACTACTTAGTACTATACATTTACTAATATGACTTGTTATTAACTTATCAATTGGCATAATATTTTAATTACTTCTCTTTTAATATAATATAGATATAAATTTTCTTACTCTCGAATTCTTTTTTTTTTTAACTTATGTTGTAATGTTCAGAATTCTTCGGTTGACTAAATTTATCTATAATTTTCTTGAGTGTTACTTATTTTTATTTTATTTATTAATTAATTCAAAATATAAATATTATAAAATTATCTTTATCCCCCTCTTTTCGTACATGCTTTTCTACTATGATATTTGATTAGTTTTCTCATTATGTATTTTACTAAAAATTTAAATAATGTACATCTTTTTCAAAATTATAATTTTAAATTCATCAAAATAAACTTTAAAGAGATAAGCCTTCTATTATTTTTATAAAAAACATACCAATATTTTTAATAATTATTAATTTGTGTTTTATATATATATATATATATATATATATATATATATATACACTTATCTTAATTTATTCTTGTATTCTAGTATGAGTAGCTAACTTTAAATACTAAAGTTGTGGACCTTAAGTGTATGTAATGTTAACGGAGGTTTACCATTGAATATATATATAATGGTTGGTTGAATTCTATTCATTTCTCATGCTTCATTTATTGTTGATGGTTACAAACATTGACTAGTGTCGTTTTACTCTATCTTTACTTGGAAAAGTGGGTTAGGGTTTGGTAGAATTGAATATCAAGAAATCAAGCTTTTAAAGCTTGTTTAATAGAATCGCTTAGGGATAAGTGGGTTCTACTAGGCATAAATTGGTTGTTCTTAATTGTAACTCTTTTATATTTGAAAAAATCATAAAAAGGATATACTACCTAATTATTGAAAAATATTGGGTAGTCATTTAGGAACCATTTGCATATCAAAGGGCCTTCCATTAGAAATATATCATATTAACACCGATAGCATTACATTCCATTAATGGGGACACAACCTTGGTTTCTTAATCAAATTCTCTTAACAAAATAGCTTTTCTTGACAATTCATAATTATAAAACTCTTTTTAAACTAACGGAGTAGAACTACGGCTTAAGTCAAGTTTCACACTATTCAAGTAACCTTTTCACACTTATTCCTTGTGGGATTGACCTCAACCTAATTGGGTTATTATATTTGACATCGATCGCCTTACATCATTTATATAGGTGTAATTTGAGCGTACATCTATTGCACACCTCCCAGGTACTAATCCAGTGCAAAAAACATATGCGACCGCATAATATGTTTTGCGATGGTAATTTCACCGCAGAATCCTCAGGTATTAAACCCTACCCTCATTCTCTCTCATTTCTGTCTATCTACTCTAAAAAAAAAAAGCAGCAAAAAAAAAAAGCGAAAAACACAGAAAAAGAAAAGAGAAAGGCTCACCTTGCTCACACGATTCACATCAAAGAGACTTGCTCAATCTTCCCACGATCTGGTATGTGACTTTCCGACCCTCCTCTTGTTCAGTTGATGTGAAGATTGCTGTGTAATTTTACTCGCCTCATTCTTCAGTCTCATCCATGATACCCTTCTCTCTCTACCTTGCTTCCTGTTTTTCGTACTAGGAATCTACATTGGGAGGAAATATGTGCTAAAATTAGGGGGGGTTAGAGTTGGGGTTACTAATTTGAATGTAAGTGTTAGTGATTGTTGGAAATACACAGTGGGAATTGATGGGTGGTACTTAAAATTGATCTAACATTGTTTTTTAGGTAATTATTTCGTGAAATTGTGCATTAGCTGTGTAGTATAAAAAAATATGAGTTGTGCAATGTAGTCTGTGGGCGATTTCTTCACATTTCTATGTGGAGAAGATGATCTTTGCGGTCCGCATAACTGTTTTGTGGTCCACAGAATCATCGCATAATGTATGCTTGGGTGTTTTGTAGAAACCAATGTGCGGTTGAGTCTGCGGTCGCAGAACTGGTTTGCGGACCGCATAACGATCGCATAGTCCAACAGAATAAGCTGAGATTTGAGGCCCAAAATGCGATCGATCTGGGATTACTAACTCAGTCTGCAACCACTTCTGCGGCCCGCATAAATTTATGCTTCTAATAGGGCCTATTACGCGCACATTTTGCGGTCACCAGATTTATTCTGCAATCGCATAAGTGGTCCGCAGAACATTTTTTTGTCTCTCATTTCTTTGCCATATGGCACGCATGTCTTACCATGCACTACATCACGTTAATTAACAGGAATGACACCAAAGAAATCCCTAACATCGAGAGCACCCGCCACTCAAGGGAAAGAGGCGGGCTACAGCTATAAGCCCACAATCACAACAATTCCAACGCAAGTGGCCTGGCACATCCAGGAATTCATCTGAGCCTGCCTCCCAGTTTAAAGAGGAGGAGGCACAGCTTGACCTTGTGCCACTAGTTGAACTCCAGGCCGAGGCACATAGAAAAATTAGTGGCGATCTCAGGTTTCTGATCACCGGGTTTTGGAATAGATACAGAGACGGCTAAGCAAAAAGAAGGATCATCAAAGAAAAACATCTAAGTATGAACGGTCTTAAAGAACACTACCTCCACGTGCTAGACACCATACAAAAGAGGGGATTGGAGTTCTTCACTAAGGCTCCAGGAGATTACAATGAGACTATTGTTAGGGAGTTCTATGCTACATATGCCGCATCCAGGACCAATGAACAAAAGAGAAGCCGTGTACACTCTACCTTGTCACAGTCCGAGGATTTGTAGTATCTTGTGGTCCCCAATCAATCAATGATGCATATTTTGAATCCTGGGAATCAGGCGTGGCAGAATATGACGCAAAATTGAAAATAAGGAATCTGAGCGTGCTTGTGTAGCCTCTATCACAGCCAAGGGAAATCCACCCTGGATTGCATCAGGCCAGAAGTTTCACAAGAGGGATTTCACCCAAAAGAGTCGGTATTGGCTAAGCTTTATCTGTTCTCATATAATGCCAACGAGAAATGAGACCGACATCAGTCTAGAGAAGGCGATCCTCATTGCTTCTATCATGTCGGGTTTCAAGATTGACGTGGGGCAGCTCCTATTCCCTAAGATTGGGATCAGTTTTTAGAGTTTTCTTGAGAGAGTTTGTTCCTCAGGCCCTTCGGGATTCTTGGCGCGTGGAGTTTGAACGGCTGCGCCAGGGTACTATGTCATTGTCGGAGTATGTCATTCGATTCAGTGATTTGTCCAGGCATGCACCAACCTTGGTGGCCACAGTCAGGGAGCGAGTCCGTCGATTCATCGACGGGCTCAACCAGAGTAATAGATACAACATTGCTAGGGAGTTGGAGTCAGACACTCCGTATCAATATGTGGTTGAGATTGCATTGATATTAGAGGGCATGCGAGACCGTGATATGGATGATAGAGAGGCAAAGAGGTCTCGTGGCACGGGAGGATTTAGTGGTGGTCACGCTGCAACTTCAGCCTGTCATGGTAAGGGCTATGTGAGCCGTCTAGTTCACTTAGCACTTCCAGCTTCTAGTGGTGCTCTGGTTATTCTGAGATCTCAGGTTGCGCACTTTTCTCAACCACTTTCTAGTGCACCTCTTGCACGGGGTGCCTTCAGCGGTCAGTCTAGCCGACCAGGCCTGAGCTAGTCGCAGTTACCACGCCCTTCGAGAGCTTGTTTTGAGGATGTTCATACCCGCCATGCCTTTCGAGAGATTGTTTTGAGGGTGGTGATACCTGCCACATGGTCAGAGACTGCCCCAGACTCAGTTGGGGTGCACCTTCCTAGACTACTCAGGCTCCACGGATTCAGTCAGGTCCGCAGACTTCGCAGGCCATGGTTGCTGCCCTAGTCGCCACTCCACCCACATAGTCAGCTAGGGGTGGGGGATGGGCGGGTAGAGGTTGCCCTATAGGGGGAGGCCATGCCAGATTCTATGATCTTCCGAGTAGGACAGAGGCAGTTGCTTCAAACTCAGTCATTATAGGTGTGGTTCTAGTTTTCTATAGAGATGCATCAATCTTATTTGATCCGGGATCTACTTATTCATATGTGTCATCTTACTTTGCTCTATTTTTGGAGGTGTCTTGTGATTCCTTGAGTTCTTTTGTTTATGTGTCCACACTTGTGGGAGATTCTATTATTGTGGACTGTGTGTATAGGTCTGGTTTAGTTGTTATTGGTTGTTTTGAGACCAGGGTTGATCTGTTGTTACTTAGTATGGTAGACTTTGATATTATCTTAGGCATGGACTAGTTGTCGCCCTATCATGCTCTTGATTGTCATTCCAAGACTGTAACGCTGGCTATGCCAGGTTTACCACAATTAGAGTGGAGGGGTGCATTGGATTATGTTCTTAGCAGGGTTATCTCATTTCTAAAGGCTCAGCAGATAGTTGTGAAGGGGTGTAATTCTTATGTAGACTTTGTGCGAGATGTCAGTGCTGATACTCCTACTGTTGAGTCAGTTTCGGTGGTGAGATACTTTCCAAATGTAATTTCAGTAGATCTTCCGGGCATACTGCCCGATATGGCCATCGATTTTGGTATTGACTTGTTGTT